AGAATCCGGATGTTGTTCACGCTTTATGCAGAGTGCAGAAGATCACCACACTGATTTCAGATTATTGAAAGCCTGTCTTGTTGTCTTTCGGATCCTGTCTGCTTTGACGTCCTCGTCTGTGCATGTGCCGCCTGTAGTTGAAACGATGCTTCCTAGGTAGATGATGATAGAGGCTACTTCCTGTAATTTTCTCCCGTTGATGGTGATTGGAGCTTGTTGTTGTGGATGGTGTTGGCGTTGGTTGGGTATCTTCATCACCAATGGCGACATAAAACCTGACTAAATTAATAATAATACTAATCATTATTTTCAAAACAGCATGTGTGATACAGTATGGAATTGTCAGCATGGAATTTCTCAACAACTGAGGGATTCGGGCCGCGATTGATATTTTGTAGCATCGGGTTAGACATATTGATTGATAACTGGAGAGTTCCCAGTTGCATTTTTCCTAGTTCTAGTTCCCAAATGATTGATATAATCCAGTCAACGCCGATCGGTGCAAATGTCTAAAGGATATACAAACTACCATCCACGTCGGTTTAATTGTCCTCGTTGATACTGGTGACGAAAGTATGTTTGTAATCTGATAACCATGTAATCATCTGCTGTTCAAGTCCACTTATTTGGGATGCATCTGATTGAATCTTGATGACTGGAGTTTTATTTTCTACAGATGAGTTCTTCAATTATTCTCTTATCTATCTCTCTCTTTCTAGTTCTATGACAAAACAGACAGGTGATCGGATAGATATTTGCCCATGATTCTTTTACTTATCGACTCATTATGTCCAAGTGGTGACTAACTCATAAACTGAAGATCGGAAATCAGAAGACAGAAATCGTCACCAGCTGATTGAATGCTTTTGTATTTTGTTTGATAAAATGAGCCCAGCTTAACCGTAAGGTGATTGAGAGCATTGATGGAAACCACGAGTAGTGATGCATGGTGAAAGCAAATGAAATAAATTTGTCGACCCTAATTAGTAATCCGCAGTTATTTAGACGTACTATAGAAACTGGCACGGAAACAAATGGTCACTGAGGCAACATCGAGATAAATGGCTCCCTAATAATGTCTTAGAGCAAGTGGGTGTTGGGTAGAATATTTTAAAGGATGGTTCAGCTAGGCTATAATCACACTTCAGTAGTTATCCAGGATCCAAAACGAACCTGAGTCACTCTCACCGAAGTTGCATAGGTTGTTTCAAACTTGAATCTATACAAAACAGTATGATCTACTAGTTCGCCATCATAGGGTTTGAAGGATGAAGGTCTATAATTTCTGAGTAAAGTAACTAAGGTACTAAATAGTGTATAGGAATCAGACGTTGTTTAATCAGACTGGTTTCAGTCTCTAATCATTCCAGTTTCTAAGAGATGAAGGAAGTCTCCTAGTGAAAATCGCAACGGAGTCAGTTTGATTCCTATCTTGTTCAGGATCATAGAGTTCATAGTCATTTGACGCTTAACTTGAGCTCTAGAACAGTGAACTTGAGAACCAAGCGGGTCCTAAGCCCAGACTTAGGTGCGTTGATCAGATTTTCACCCTTCAACAGGTTATGGAATACAGGCACATGCTAATATAATTGTAAAACTTGGGCACTTGGGTAGAATATAATTCCATATTGGATTTATTTATTTGATGTATAACACACAGCGATGCAGTATTATTTACTTGTTGATGTTTTGAGGACAAATTATTGCTCATAATCATGTCAATGTAATCACACCACTTTCAACAATTGATCTTTGTAGTCCTATTGAAAGGAAACGAGAAGGTAGATACGTAGGAAAGAATGTTCATTATTAACAAGTGATACGGTAGTCGTTAAATATGGTACACCTTGCTCTAAACCGTCATTTGCAAAATGTGCTTCATTTCCTCTTCTGCTTCTCTCTTGATTTGCTCTTTATATGCCTGCGTTGTCTCTTACGTTTCTCTTGGCAGAATCCTCACCCATTGCTGGTAATTCCCTATGATTAGTCCTGCCTTCCCAACGTATACTACTTATATCCATTCTTATCAGCAACGCGCTCTACACTCTCACCTCATATTCTTTGTTTTTTTCTGCTTAAGGATCCGATAAAACCAAATAATTAAAATAATTTAATCTATCGAACTTCATGCAGTGACTGTGAGGTCATATACATAGGTCAGGCTAGTCGGTCGGGGTCAGTTAGACTAGTGGAACATAGGAATTTAGCTAAATGTAGAATGACAGTCTCCAATAAGATCACTAATCCATAAAAAACTGCGCTAGTGCAATACACGCATTAACGCAGCCACACAATTGGGAGAGATTGATTATTGGATGTTGTTATATTGATCTTGGTGACTAGCAGAGGAATCCAGAACGTGTGTTTCGTAGTATTTGGGACTTGTCTGCTGGATGTACCTGCACCTCAGTGTTGAGTGGTATTGTTCCCAACCAGGGCTCGAACCCATTACCCTTCGCCTCAAACGGCAGAGCGTTATCCACTAGGGCACGACAGCCACTTCTTGTGCAGTAGGTGTCAATTGTTGTAATGATACTTGTAATTTCCTGTTGCTATACAAAGTCGAATTACTCGACCTCTATTGGCAGATGGGTTCCTATACGAATCCCTGCCGGATATTCATGATGTTGTATTGATCTTGGTGACCAGCATATTTAATAAGAATGACCCAACATCTATGCAAGAGATACGGAAGATTTTTACTGCCAATAAAAAAAAAGAATATGGGATCACAGTATTGCAAAAGTCGGCTGTTGAAAGTGGCGTTGTTACATTGATATGATTATGAGGAATAATTTATGCTCGGAACGTCGTCATCAAGTAAAAAAAATACTGTATCACTATGTTTCCTACACCAAATAAACAAATCTTATATAAAATAGGCATACGTGCCGGTACGTGATATTTGGCATTTGACTGCATCGATCTAGATGTACAGTGATAGTGTATGACTGTAACGGGAGTGTACTGAGCGAGGATATAGTGCTAATCAGGGTGTGGAGTTGTGACTCATTAGTTTAAGCATTTTAATTTCAACCGGTAGATCAGGTGTTCTAATGTTTACGGAGAGTTATCGTTTGAGGTAACGTCTTTCAATGCTGGTTGCCAGAAATTTCCACCACAATCATTCCTATTCAACTTTGTCATGAAAGTGCTGATGGATATAACCCCCTAAATACCTCTGACTTTTCAGGGACAGATTCGATACTCAGATAGCAGTACCTGACTGACTTAGTCATATACGTGATGGTGCTGACAATATGCAGTCTTCTGTAATTAAAAATCTGTGTGTTTGACATGTGTTTTGTATCTATCAGATGTAAGATGATGTTTCAAGACTGAGTTGCATCGACTCCTAGTTTAACGATAAAGTGGTGAAAGGTGTTGACCACTTAGTTTACATGAAAGATTTCATGAACCCTGATTGATAACGAACTTTACGGTCTGTTTATTGTTTCCCAGCTTGGGCCACTTGTGATGCCCTTGTGATATTAGAATATCCATCAAAGGACAAGAATGCTACGCAGTAGCTCATCGTATGATGGTGTTATCAATTTTCAACCATCGATATCTTCGTGGCAGTGTCACGTGTGATGGAGCCAATATGCGTACGATATCGCGGTTAATTATAGTATATTAGGTGAGAAAGGCGTACTAATCAATGAGGGTGCAATGCGTCACTGGTTGAGATGATATGAACACTTTTTGCGTATACCAAGCCACTCTACCTACTTCGACACGAGATGGTAGCCGAATTAAGACTAAGCTTGAAGAAAGCTAAAATAGTCAAAGTGAAACATCACGTCAATTTTCTTACTGTTGATGTGAGATGTGTAGGCTTTCTAACAGGAATCTTTAACATGTTAGGAATCACCGGTTAGAGATTCATGGTGATATGGCTGACAATTTGTAACATTTTCACTAATCTTCACCTCCTCTCTTACATGTTTATCTACTTTAATATTATTATTTCTGTATTCACTGCTTAGTATAACTGATAGGATAGTAGCTTTGTATCCAGTGGTAAGCATTAATCAACTGTGCCTAGTGATTTTCTAACTATTCTTAGTTCAGTTTTGGCTGTCTAATATATGGCTCATAGTTATTTCGATCACATATGTTTATGAGTGGTTGTTTTTATTTAAGTGTTATGTTTTGAATTATTATTGAATACGTTTTTGCAGGCAGTTGATCGAATATTTATTCCTTTAATTATTCATTCAGTTGAACTTTGAAAGTAGTTACCATTTGATCACAATGTACAAGCCAAAAGCACAGTTTCCAATTTGGGTGCTTATTGTTGTATGCAATTAGACTAGACATCATCATTGAATACTTTCTTCCTATGCTTAATTTTCAGTTAGAATACTCACATAAACGGATGGTATAACGCAGGTAACTTGTCTGTCAGCTGTTAACGGAATAATATAATGTCAGTCGAAATACATTCAGCAACTTTGTGCACATTGATGGAGTAAGCAATGAACCACGTGTGTTTTGTGGGCCTAGTGGTCACCTGATTGCCGTAACTTCAGTAGGTGGAAGCTGGGTTTGAACTTGCGGCCTATCAGTTCGAAATCAAGTTACAAAGTTAAAGATCCATAACTTCGCGTCGAGTAAATTTAAAGTCAGTGACTGGTAATAAATTCCTGCCAGTCTGCGATGTGGCTTGAAATCGATTTCTATGGTGCAGACGCATCCATATGTAGTCTTCATCCTAAAAGTCAGGTTGTATTCCGTTATTTTACCTAACCCTTCTTCTTCTCACTTTACCTTTTGCGTTATTTAGTTGGATTTTCTTTTTTCACAACCTTTCATCTTGGTGATATGAAGCATGGCAACTTGGACCGTTGTGCAGTAGCTCTACGTCCCATCTTCATATTCACTGATTGAATGATTGTGTAGGACTAGTTTCATCCCCTGTGACACTTTCTAATTTAGTAGATATTTTAATGTAGTCAGTTCTTTCTGTTTTATTTCCCATCTCTTAATTTGTTTAGGGTAGCTCAGTGTCCGGTGGTGTTGACTCAGATTCACATGCTGAAATCTATGCATTCCCAACAGCACAATCAGGAGATTCAAGTCATGCCTCAGTTCTTCAATCCGGTGACAATATGCACTTGAATTTTGCTCAACACGATCTCATTCTGAAACAGAGGACATTGGCTGAATTAGAACGTGTTAGTTTACGGAGGGCAGTTGTGGAAGAACGTAGACGATTCGCTGAACTACTTACCTGCTTGAAACCGGTTTTGGTAAGTTTACACATTATTTTCTGATATTTTTGATGCTTTTCTCACACTAAGATTAGTATGTAATTTTAAGCTGTTTTCTTCCTTCTGACTCAGATTACGTAGTGATTCCCTAGGTCGCTCGTAGACGCTTACGCTATTTGCATAGATTTTTGTGTCTAGTTAATTTACTTTTTGAATGTCATCTTGGATGACATTAGCAGATTTTATGGTTCTTAAGTAATGACAGCTATCTCTAAGTAAGAGTGTAGGTATTCTGGTATTCAGAAAAATCTCTTATCTAGGGTACTTGTTTATAGGGCTTTCGACAACTTCTGGTTGTCATATTCAGTTCCCACTTAACTAAAGTATGAAGAGCTTGGACAACTTCTTCTATTTAGGTATCAAACAAAAGTGGAAGGCATACAGGTTGTCCAGCTGTTTGATGACAATCACCTTATGAGTACTATTTGGGACTTTGAAACTATCGATTGAGTAATGTTGATGTTAAGTATAGAGTACTAGGTAGTAAATCAGTGAATTTTCACGTTTCGAACATTCTTTATACACAAATTTAAAATGCACTCAACTATCATATGCACGCCCATACAGTAGGCATTAAGATATTCCTGTTATGTGAGAGCCAGTGATACTTCTTTGCTACCGAAATCTAGATAGGTGAAGTGGGGTTCGAACCCTTAGCCCTTCCGTTGAAAGTCGAATGCCTAGACCAATAAGCCGCAGTTGTAGTGTGTCATACACATGCCTTGTCGTAACGCACATGATGAAAGGAGCGTCATGCTGATCAAACTAAGGCAAAACACTAATTCATAAAGTCTCTTGCTACTGATTTGAGGCAACTATAAGTTCACTTTTTTGTGTCCAAAAATCAAGGGAAACCAATGGTTAAAGGTTGAGCAGTTTGCTTTAGAAATTGCTTCAGTAGAGTGTATGGATTCATCCCTTATATTTTTCTAGATTTCGAAGAATTCATCATATCGTTTACTGTACAATTTTTTTCATCAGCTTTGCATTCTTCTCACAACTCTTTACTACTATCAGTAGGAATTTTTTCCTTTTGTTTTTCCTCACGTTGACTTTCCTTTTGTCCTGTCATTATGAGATCTGGGGATGTGAATCCATACTCAGTTGTATCCATTGTCTCTGGTTGATTATTGTGAAAGATAACTGTAAATTTAAGTAAATCAGTTAAATTGAATAAACCTATGTGAGTAATATATTCTGCGAATATTTTTCATGAATCCACTGTATTTCGAAATGTTTGATTGTTTAGAGGGAGAGAAACACACTTCTATGTTTTATCAACCAGGTTCTATAGATTGTAAAGGATGAAATTTTGATGACTCAATTAATAATCAAAAAGTGTATTGAATGTCATTGAAACGACTATCTCTTTTTCTAGGATAACAAACACTTCAAGGAATGCTTCAAAAAAATGCATAAACCAACTTTTAGATTATCTAACATCTTTTGAAAAGTGACCCATAGTTTCGCTGTCGATTTGGATATTCTATATTAGATTTATTTATTTGATTTATAACACAATGATCCAGTATTATTTACTTGATGACGTTTCGAGCATAAATTATCACTGTTCATAATCATATCAATGTAGTTACACAACTCCCGACATTTGATTTCTATAGTTATGTCACCTCATATGAGTTGTTTTTATTGGTAGTAGAATTTTCCATATCTCTGGTATAGGTGTTGCGCCATTTGTACTACATGTGTTGGATGTTGATTTGATGAAGAAAGATTCAGCAATCAATCTCTCTACCTCTCTCCATCTAATTATATTGGAGTGAAGCGGTACAGTGGCTTTATCCCTCCTTTTCTATTGTGTGGTTGTGTGTTAATGCATGCATTGCAATAGCCGAGTTTTTTTCTAGATTATTGATCTTATTCAAGTCACTGTTACTGTATACTTAGCAAAATTGCTATGTTCGGCTATTGTAACTGACCCTGACCGACTACTAGTTTGACCTATATACTTGACCTTTTACTCATTACATAGTGTTTGATAGATTATATTATTTTGCTGAATTGGTTCTGTGGGATCCTGAAGCCAGCTGACAAAGTTTATCTCTGAATGATTTTGTAGGTTTAAATGCCACCCTAATTCCAGCTGTGTTGATGATTCTAGGTAAAGTTTTTGAGATATCCTGCTTATAATAGGGTAATACGATGGGGGTTATGAACTCCTTTTTACTCGTATTGTCGTTATTAGTCGTGTTGGTGTGACTGTGATGTTAAGTATATAGGTCAAACTAGTCGGTGAGGGTCAGTTAGAATATCTGAACACTGGAGTTTTGCTAAGTATACAGTAACAGTGACCTGAATAAGATCAATAATCTAGAAAAAACTGGGCTATTGCAATGCATGCATTAACACAACCACACAATAGAATAGGTGGGATAAAGCCACTGTACCGCTTCACTCCAATATAATTAGATGGAGAGAGGTAGAGAGATTGATTACTGAATCTTTCTTCATCAAATCAACATCCAACACATGTAGTACAAATGGCTCAACACCTATACCAGAGATATGGAAAATTCTACTACCAATAAAAACAACTCATATGAGGTGACATAACTATAGAAATCAAATGTCGGGAGTTGTGTAACTACATTGATATGATTATGAACAGTGATAATTTATGCTCGAAACGTCATCAAGTAAATAATACTGGATCAATGTGTGCTATATATCAAATAAACAAATGTAGTATAGAATTGCCCAAGTTTTACACCTAGATTTGGATATTACAGTATTTTTTAGAATCACAGAATACGTGATGATTGCTTTGTGCTTGTGGCATGCCTTCAGGAATCTCATTCTGTATCTTGTTATCTGTTAGTGTTGAAAGTATTATTAAACTAGAGGGAAGCTCGGTAATCCGAAATTTTGTAAATATTTATCCTAAATCCTCAAATTTAAATCTGTAGAAAAGGCATCACTGTTTTCTACTGAGGAGTATCGTGTAATAGACCATCCTTATTATTAGGTAACATTGAAACACATGGGTGTAGTAATGAAAACCTTATAACTGACTTCTTTGTGAAGTTTTTGCTGATGATTTTGTCTAGAATGACACTGAAAACTATACAAATAAACCATCCAGCTCAGAGAACACAACATCAAAATGGAAAGTCACTTACCTGATCTAATGAGCCACAAGTCAGAGTAAACTTAGAACACCTTAAGCTTCCGATAATTGTTTGGTTTTGTTTAAGTTTTATCAGAAGCTTACATTTTGATAGTGTTGTGTTCTCTTAGGTGGAAAGTTCAATCGTGAAGCTTTCATTATCATGTCAGCACAGACCTCACTGATCGGGATTTTTCAACTATACAGTGAATACACTTATTTGGTATGTTGACAGATGTAATTAAAATCTGCATAACATACATAGCATATTTCCCATGATATTGGTAATATCGGGTGTTACTTTATCCTTAAAATGGTGAAAACGACATAATTATCAGGCTTCTCTAAGGTGTTACATGTCTATTGCTGAAGAGGTGTTTCCACTTTTAGTATTCAACGTTCTATCCGTACACTCAGCTCCTGTTTTATCATGTAGAACTTGTCTGATATTTATCATCTGTAGTACAGTCAGTGCTAATATTATTCATATTCTTAACTTTTTTGCTCACCTTCCTTTCTGTTATCTTCATTAACATTTGAGTTAAAGTTATTCTTTTGAAGGTGTATGAAAAAAGACTTTGAAGTCTGTCGTCTAGGGGATTTTCTGTGCTATAGAGGTCAGATGACGGACAATATGTTTTATATTGATCACAATCATGAGACGAATAGGCAGAGAAGGTAAATGAGCGATAGTTGCAGACTGTTGGGATGAATCTTTACTTAGCGCTTCTCTTCCTTCTCTCTTACTGAGTTAGTTTTCTTTTCTTTGTAGATTTACGTGTTTGTGTGTTTGTGATTAATCTTTTCTCAAATAGATTGTCTATGCTGAATTCTGTATGTATTCACATTATGATTAACCTTTCACTTTGGTGTGATACGAGCAATAGTGTATGGAATACTTGATTAGTCATGTAGTTATTATTGTCGAAGTCTTACTGTCTGTTAATTGCAGAAATTCCAAAATATGACATAGTTGTTAGTCGAAGATTGTCTGTTGATGCACATCTTGCATAGTTTGGTCATAGACTCGATGCGTATGTTGATGTTAGTCACTGAAATAGTTACATCCTATGTTTGTAGGCTAAAGTGTATATACGTAATTTAAAATATCAAGAAACGGGCCACTTAAAACAATATTCTGAGAATGTAAAGAAAAACGAGAAACAACGAATAAGGAAATGATGTAGTAATCGCTGTCATAAAAGACACTAGAAATAACGTTTATTACTGTGACCAAACTTTCCGGTTATCTGAGAAACGTGAAAACTCCCATATGATCACTATTGGCTTCGATTCTGAACTTTGTCGAGTAACTTTCATGTCTGGAAAGTTATGATGCATCAGTAATCGCTAATTGAACAGCAGCATCACATCACAGGCTGATTATCACTGATTCTTCCAATCAATTAATGTTAAGCTTTCATCAAATACTAAATGAAGTTTAAGATCAATAAAGTAAGAGAAGGACCAAATTCTTTAAACTGTCAACTTAGTAAATAATACATGGTTATGGACTCAGTCACTTCAAAAATGGTGTTGCTTAATTGATGATGAAAGACATCTAATGTTATATAATAAATATATGAATTAAAGCTTTGTAATATGTTTAAAAGCTGAAGTATTAATACAACGCTAAGTTGAACTGCACCTTCCGGTTTCCTTTATTGTTAATCATTCGAATCTGATATCAATAAGAGAAGGTAATATGATTTGAGATTTTGCTTGTAAGTCTATTTATTATATGAACGGTCGAATTCGAAGAGGAAATCAGTTATAATCATGGATTTTAACATTTATTGTATGTTAACTTCTAAATAGTCTATGAATCTCCGAATATCATATGATTTTTTAA